TCTTGAGCCCAGGAGTTGGAGGTTGCTGTGAGCTGTGATGCAACAGCACTCTACCCAGGGGGACAGCTTGAGTCTCCTGTCTAAAAAAAAAAAGACACACTATAGGCTAGGTGAGATAGCTCATGCCTGTAATCCTACATTCTGGAAGGTCAAGGCAGGAGGATCAATTCAGCTTAGGAGTTCAAGACCAGCTTGAGCAACACAGTGAGACCCCGTATCTACTAAAAGTAGAAAAAATTAGCCAGGCATTCTGGTGCCCTGTAGTCCCAGCTACCCTAGAGGCTGAGGCAGAAGGATCACTTTAGCCCAAAAGTTTGAAGTTGTTGTGAGTTAGGCTGATGCCATAGCACTTTATTTATTTATTTTTATTTTTTTATTTAGAGACAGAGCTTCACTATGTTGCCCTCAGTGGTAGAGTACCATAGCGTCACAGCTCACAGCAACCTCAAACTCTTGGTCTTAAGCAATTCTCTTGCCTCAGCCTCCCAAGTAGCTGGGACTTCAGGTGTCCACCACACTGCCTAGCTATTTTTTGTTGCAGTTGTCATTGTTTAGCTGGCCTGGTTTTGAACCCACTATCCTCAGTGCATGTGGCCAGTGATGTAACCACTGTGCCACGGGTGCTGAGCCAGCCATAGCACTTTAGACTGGGGCAACAGAGTGAGACTCTGTCTCTCCCTGCCCCATCAATGAAAGAACCAAAAGCATACTACAAAGCCACAACAAACAGACAACATGGACTTAGTATGAGAGTAGCGGAGGAGGGAGCCTCACCTACATCTTCTACAGGCTTCACCCCACAAATCCTCACTGCATGGAGTTTAGAGCTGTTATAACCTCATGGGACAGACAAGGAATGGATCAGAGGCCTGAGCAGAAGTTACCTACTCAAGATGGAAACTGAGATGAGTGTGAAGTGTCAGGAGAAGCTTGCTGCAGTGTGTGGGAGAGGGAGGGAAGGCACATGCAAAGGCCCAGATGCTGGAGGGAGTTGGGGGGACTATAATCCCAGGGGCCTCCCTGGGAGTCCTCTTTGTCCTTTTGTGGGGTGGGACACCCATTTTACAGACTGGAAGACTGAGGTGTCACTTGTCCCTATCATGATGTGCCTGAAGAGGAGGCACAACCTTATATGGGAAGTCTGAGGGGCAGAGGAGGTTGGGGAGGGTTATAGGCCTTGTCTAGGGGTCTGTGGGGGGTCAGGCCTTACTCCACCCCTAGGATCCACTTTCAAAGCCCTTTCAAGGAAATATTAAGAAACTGAGGAGGCACCTTCATCTTACTGTGCCTGGTGAGACTCTGGGGCTTTCCGAGAGCCTCAGAGGGCTCTGGGGGTGCCCAGCTCTTTCCTCCCAACTCTGTCCCTTCAGTAAGCAGCAGTGACCAGGCTGCTCTGGTCACAAAGGATGCCTGAGGTCCCCTTAACTCAGGGACATGGTCACATGTAAGCTGACCCAAGCACTAGGGTCCCTGTGCCTGTGGCTTGGCCTAGCACCTGGCGTGGCCAGTAGGCGAGTTGCCCAGGGCCAGAGGCACACTGGCTTGGGTGTGAGTCCTCTGGTCTGTAAAAGGAGAATCTTGATTGTCTCCACAATGTGGTGCTTATTGAGGACTGAACTTCAGGCCCGGCACACACACTGAACCCTCAGTGTTACAGCATACAGAAACCCTATGTTCTGGTTCCCAGCACCCTGCTAGGCCTGGCACACAAGAGGTGCACACTAATTGTTCATTCACTCAAGAACCCATTGAGCACCTACCATGTATATTGTATCAGTCTCATGTATTGGGAGACACCACTGATAATTCCTGGATTTGGGAACAGATGTGGGATAAGGACTCCAAGCAGTGGTGTGCAACAAGGGATGGAGGTTCTCCCCAGGAAGTGGGCTGGCACAGCCTGCTAAGAAGCAGGGGAAAAAGAAGGGAGTGTGGGAAGGGCTCCCCCAGCAGAGGGCATGGCTATGCAAAGGCCCAAGGTTCAAGCCTGCATGGCCCATCCAAGGGGCCAGTGGGGCTGGGAAGGGGGCAGTTGAATTCAGGGCCAAGTGAGGACAGAGGAGATGCCCAGGGCACTCATGTCTGCTTCAAGCCTGATCCAACCTAAAACCATGGGAGACAGGTTCTGCCCCCTGCTCAAAGAGGATAAGCAACTTGCCCAGTGTGTGGTTTTATGGGATGTGAGCCCAGGCCCATTGTTCCAGGGCCTCTTAACAACTACCTAGGCTGCGGCATGCGCTTCATGAATTTCTGCAGAAAAAATGTAGGTGAAAGGTCTGAGCCAGAGATGCCTGGTTTTGTGTCTCTGGCTCACAGTCCTGTCTTCCTCATCTGGAGGAGAGGCGGGTGGAGGAGTGTTTATTGGATTCCCTGTGATGGGACCAGTGTGCCTTCTGGTGGTCAAATCAGGAATGGCTTGGAATAGCTATAGAGATGAAGGCAAGAGGTGGCCAGTGGGTTTAAATCTGCCACCTCCGGTACCTCCTTTGAGCCACAGGTGCTGCCCCCCCCCCTTTTTTTGAGACAGTCTCAAGCTGTTGCTCTGGGTAGAATGCCAAGGCATCATCATAGCTCACAGCAACCTCCAACTCTTGGGCTCAAGCGCTCCTCTTGCCTGAGTTTTTTCTTTCTTTCTTTCTTTTTTTTTTTTTGTGTGACAGAGCCTCAAGCTGTCATTCTGGGTAGACTGTCGGGGCATTACAGGTACCCACCACAGCACCTGGCTATTTTTTGGTTGTAGTTTGGCAGGCCTGGGCTGGATTCAAACCTGCCAGCTTTGGCGTACATGGCTGGCACCTTAGCTGCTTGAGCTACAGGCACTGAGCCTTTTTTTTTTTTCTTTGAGGCAGAGTCTCACTATGTCACCCTTGGTAGAGTGCCCTGGTCTCACAGCTCACAGCAACTTCAAACTCTTAGGCTTAAGCAACTCTTTCCTTAGCCTCCCAAGTAGCCGGGACTACAGGCGCCCACCACAACTCCTGGCTTTTTTTTTTTTTTTTGAGACAAGAGCCTCAAGCTGTC